TAGAACATTCCCCAATATACAGGATAATTCTAGAAAGTAGAGAGCGTGAGAATCACATGATCTCGATGACGCAACAATATTCTAATTATATATTTCAATGTCATCTTTTGCCGTAAATGCTAGTATTTTGAGTGTTTTGCTTTCTTGGATCAAAATGTGGCTATAGTAAAACAACAGATAAATTTATTCTTATTTTTATTTCTTCATTTGTAGAAAAGAAATCACAATTTATTCACTTTTGCATCCAAAAGGTATCTTATTTATAAAACTCGTACAAAATGATATTAAATCGGGACTTTCAGTACTCTTTATAAACTTGTTACCGACTTTAAGTTGTAAACAATAAAGTTACCTTTCCTTTTCCTAATCTGGAATCCGATTTTATGTTTTGCATCCACAAATTCAACCACAGAAATACAATGTAGTATGCATATCTACAGCGATGTCATATTACTTATATTTTCAACTAAAAAATTCACAGTAGCTCGGCGATAATACGCTAAAAAATGGGTCTTGATTTCTCGTGGTAGATAGAGCACAGATAAACCATTGTATAGATAGTTTTGTGTTTAACAGCAGTCAACCCAAAACGATAAAAATAAAATGTACTCATTTGACCTTTGGCCTTTCAGTGTCCTTAAATCAAAAATCCATGCATGGCAACCTCTCCAGTGATGTTCGTCATACTCCAAGGAATATTTTTAGCATAAATACCAAGCAAAAATGCCATCAAAAGTGTACTTCGTCACCTGATTTGTTTTTTGTGTTTTTTAGCTTGACAGGTGTTTGGTTTGGAGGAAAAGACTGCAGTTGGGAAAGTTGCAAGATCTTCTAAATCGGATGCTCAGGAACAATCGTTCTCCTTCGCCCAGCACGTGGAATGTGTTGTTAATCCAAAAGAGATATTAATTGGAAATAGATGTTGATTAAAGGTTAATGAAAAGCTGTGGAAATGGTAGTGGAAAGTTGTGTGAGAGAGAGAGCAGGAAAGGCTTGTAGATCTTGGTTCATGTTTTCTGATGTCCTCTTCAAAGATGTGACACCTTCTTCAGTTATGTATCTTTCCGTCGAGAAACCCAAAGGGTGACCAAAGCAACCAGCTCATTAAGTGAAATATTAGTGATACTTGATTGATTAGGCAGAAGATGAGACGAAGATATTTAAAGATTAAAATGGCACCAGATGAATGCGCTGTAAAGGGAGTTTAATACAAATGAATAAATGTTTAACATAAATTATTTAAATCCAAATAATTTACTAATATCAGAAACACGAAATAAATAGTTATGTTTGATATCCCTTTATTCAAACATCGAATAGTTTTTATTACGGACATATATTTCAAATACAGAAATAACAACCAATCATAACCGACTGAGGGCAAATCCATAGTCTAACAAAAGGGAAAGCAGATATTAGTTAAAACTGTTGTTTGCTGTGTTGTATACAACTTCTGCATTAAAACGTTTTGTCGATCATGTAATATTAGATTTAATTTAGCAATTATAATACACTGAAAATAGAGCCCAACTTAAAGAGTAATTTTAAGTATGATACTCTTGGCCTCGTTTGTGAACAAGTGGGCTTAGTTTATTTATCGTCATTGCTGAAAGTGTAACCTGTAGCCTCGGTGTAGGTTAGGTCAATTTTTGCAACTGCCAAATTTATTGTCACTATCTAACAGTAACCGTACTGTTATCATTAATACGGCTAGTAATACTAATTACTATTATCACTACCAGTAGTATTACAGTTCATTATGTTGAAATATATTTCCTTCGTCAATTCATACAACTTTTGACATTCTGTTTGTAAAGTTTGGATTCAATGAATTTTGATTACCTCTGTCGAATATATTAAATTATTTCTAAAAACTGGTAAAATAAAGAGTCGGAGTACACGCTACACAGGCTATGTAGCATAAGCGTATTTATGACATAAACTAGGCATTATTTTTTCTTGCATTTGAGTTTAATATTTTGATACCATATTTGTTGTTGGTTAATTTTTATGATATCAAGCAAATATTTAAAAACTAAAAAGCAGTTGTTTGTAGGTCATATTTTTAATAGTAATAATACAAAAACTGGCTCTAATTATATAATATATTCCAATTAGCAAAAAAAAAAATGGAGATAGAACAAAGAGGAGACTTGAGTTCTTTAAAAAATCCAGGCTTGTCAAGCATAGAAGATGAATCATTTATGATGTATTCCCTGCTGTATTCATGTGTTTCAGTACTATTTGGAATATCTGTGTTACTGAAATTTCTTAACAGTGAGTTGCGACTTGGTTTTAGATCTGTTTTGAGTTTGGTAATTCTTTTTGTTGGAGAACCATTATGCCAGTTTGCTATTCAGGGACATATGGGTTTTGCAGGATTTGCCTGTGGTTGTTTGATTTTGTATGCAACTTTACCTGCAAGCCATCTTGATGCCAAAGATAAAACTGTGCTTATTACTGGTAAGTATTCTTTTTGAGGTGATGTAGACATACGTAACAGTTATTTTAAACAAAAATAATTTTCAGTTATCAGTAAATTTATTACAGTTTGTACTTAATTCATACCATGGTAAAATAATAATGTATGCATATTAAGGGATTTTATTGTTGCTGAGAATGTTGGTAACCTGACAGAGGAGATATTTTTTTTAATCATTCTGCTAATTTCAAAGGAACAAGTGCAGAGCTGACGAAACTATTGCCAATTTGAGGTGTGACGAAAAAGGTTTTGAGACACTTGCTATTTCACATATCCTTTCGAGGTTACTATTAGTTACAGAAATAGCATCAAATGTTGCATTAAGAAAACTGATAATTACATAAAATTGAAATATGCAATTTAAAAATACTGTAATGATATTTGTAGGTTGTGATGAATATAAAAAAACAGGGTATGTTTGAAAGTATTAGGTCAGACTTTAGTTTCATAATATAACAATTGAGAAACAACAAGGACCCATTCATTTTATTAAATACCTATCTGCTATATATAGCCCTGATTTTTTAGGTATTCATCAAGCTTTCTCTTCAACTCTTCCAATCCCATTTCATCTACCAGGTCTGATAGTTTATTTCAAATGCCAACCACACTATTGAAAAATACCCAGTTAAATTTTAAATTATTTCCCTGTGTCTTACCACTTAAGATGGTATGTCATTCTTATCTATTCCTTTATTATTTTGAACATTTCTCCACATTTTTCTAGAAAGTATATATATTATATATATATATATTTCTTATAATAAGTAAGTCAAAACCATACATAGCAATTTGAATGAGGCTTCACTAAGTCCTCACAAAAAATTAAAATGACCTTTTCAACATTTTATTCCTTAAAATATACAATCAGAAAGATCTCAGCATAGAGATCAAAATGTCACCAAAGAATGAAAAACATATTTTATGTATAAAAGATTTCTAGGATACCCAAAACACAACCTAAACCTTCAGTAAGAAATGTAAGACATTTTTAAATACATTAGTATGGGATACATTATATTTAGAAATAAATACATCTTATGTTTTAGTTCTAAGGGATAACAATGGGCCATGTGGCCCTTCTAGGTATTCACATTTTCTACCACAGTGCTACTCCAATCTACATATATATATATTAATATAAACCATCAAAATACTTTCTCTGAAGTATATATATATATATATATTA